GAACTAATTAGCAATTTAAACTGTTAAATTCAAATTTAAATTTAAAATGATTAATTGAACTTTTCAATTTTTAAGAATTCAACTTCTGAAATTTTAAGCATATTCTTAACTTATTAAAATTGATAGTTTTCAAAATCCTTGAGCGGCATACTTTTTTTTGAATATCTGTAAGGCAATGCTTCGATCACACTATACATGGACTTGTTTAAAGTAAAATTGTAGTTGTGCCTTTCAAAAATGTATAAATTTAAATAAAATCACGATTTGTAATAACATCTTTAAATTGTTTCTACAGGAATACAAATATAGGCACACTAATTAAAAAGGTCTTAAAATGTTCGATTTTTTATTGTCTATTTAGAAACTTATTGAACTTTTATTTTTATTCTACGCCGCTCTAGGTATTTTCATAAGAAGACGTTTAATTAAATTTTCTTAAAAAGTGTCATCATTCAATCAAACCTTCATATATTTTCTTACAGTCGTAGCACGCTAATGGGATAGTGAAAAAAGTTGGAAAAAATACGTCTTTTAGATATTTTCCTTGTAGCTAAATTAATATTTCACACGCCGCAAAAATAAAAACGTTAAAAATGTTTACTTTTCTGAGAGTTTCAAATGAAATTTAAGCGTTTTTTCAATTTTAAACTCATAAAATTAATTGACAAATTAATATTTTGTTCTAATACTGTACGTAAATGTTGCTTAGTATATAATTTAGGAAAATATGATTATACAATAAGTTTCAATCTAAAATAATACGGACTTTTAAGTGTTTGATTCGAGTATCATAAAAGTTAACAGTTTCGTGGATTTGCCCATATATTTGTAAATTTGTGTTAAAACTAAATTTTTGTTGATTCCTTCGTTTACGTTGTAATGCCGCTTATTTTACAATGTGGTGAGGGATACCCCTTAAACGTGTGTAATGGTGTAATTATTCCTAAGGTGTGTGACGGAGGGTTAAGGAAAACTACGGAGAACCTTAACTGAGTACAGCCGATTTATCGACGCCGAGTCTTGTATGTGTAAATTCGAAGTCTCAAATGTTACACTACTAGGTCCTCGACGTTCAAATCTCCCGCTTAGATTATATCACGTGACGGAAAAAATCCGAGGCTAACGGGCACGAACCATATACCCTTGGCTTACCGCGTTAGCCGAGCCGAGGCATTACACAGCCCCACAAAAAAAAGTGTCGTGCGCGGCAGACCAGACTAGTCATTTCCCATGTATTTTGACGCGCTGAGCACGAATCCGAAGTCCGTTTTGCTCCATCACGTCAGGATTTTTTTCTAACCTCAAAAAATCTGTCGGATTTTGAGAGGTAGGCTATTTTTTCTTAAATTAATGGATTTACTTCAAACTTGGTAACTAGGGGTTTTTTTGGGTCGCTGATGACAAATTTGAAGTTAGATTTTCAAAATTCAAAATGGCGGCTCCAATATGGCGGACGAATTTTTTTAAAAGTTAATGGATTTACTTCAAACTTGGTAACTAGGAGTTTTTTGAGTCGCTGATTACGAATTTGAAGTTAGATTTTCAAAATTTAAAATGTTGGCTCCAATATGGGGGACGAATTTTTTAATTATTGATGGATTTACTTCGAAGTTGGTATCTAGGGGTTTTTTGGGTCACTGATTACGAATCTATAGTCAGACTTTCACATTTTGAACCCCCTGCACGAAAAAAATGCCCGTGCACCGCTTGTCTCACTTCCAGTGCAGTTGATGCAGAGGTTGTCCGATGGAAGTGCGTTTGCTGTCTCTAAAAAGGGCCGTATATGATCCCTTTTCAAAGTGTAAGATTTGTACTGTAAATTAAAAACCAATTAATTTACTATTGACTAATTAAGGACCATTGGTGCACATATAGAGATAAACAGTGCACAGAAATTTTTTCCGTGTGGCTGCTCCGAAAGATTTTTTGGTAGAGTGTTGTGTAGCGGGAACTGTAATTTTTTGTTTTGTAATGAACTACTCTCAAGAACTGACAGTTGGGTCTCATTGCATCATAGAGATTAATTCGGCAAATGCACAAAACTTTTTTCATTGAGGTAATAATGTGACAATAAGATGTAAAAGTTAAATAATAAATTTTTAAGCAACGAGATAAAAAGGAACTTTAATATCCTCTATCCTTCACTATCTTATTCCTTAAAAATACATTGTTTACCTTGTACGCTTTGCACTTTTATTGTGTTTCAGCACAATACTAATCCTGCTGCTTCAAAAAATGTAGTAGGCGATGACAACTGCCCCGAAAGGGGATATGTAGAATGATTCGCTTCCTGTTTATCAAAGTAACGAAGCCAGCGTAGGCGCGCTGCCCTGCAGGGGGACGTTAGGGTGTGAGGATGATGCCGTAGTGTGTCCGACGACGAGGTGACTTTGTCCTCGTCAAAGTCGGAAAGCTCTCATACTTAGGCCTGGGGAGGTATGAGGGTTATCACCCCTAGAACGGCGGACTCACCTGCGATCGGGCCAGGATCCCTAACGTGCAGGTTTTCACATAAATCATGGCTTCTCAAAATCAAAACAATAATAAAACTCCAAACGCTTCAAAACTTAATTTTGCAGTAACAACGTCGGAACACTTATGCGACAGCAATGCAGATGCATTTTGTTACATATGTGGACAATTCGATGTCCCCAAAAATCGTAAATCAATAAATGAAAATATCAAACAGATCTACAAAGATTATTTTGATCTTGAGATAACCAATCAGGATAAAAATATTGTTCCACACAAAATTTGCAGTTCCTGTTACACAATGTTAACTCGTTGGAATCATAAAAAAGAGGATAAACTAAAGTTTATAAAGCCAACTTTGTGGGAAAAACCATTAAAACAAAAAGATTGTTATTTTTGCAACACCAATGTGCAAGGATATAATAACAAAAATAAAAAGAACATATTGTATGCTAATGTCCCCACTGTAAAAAAACCAGAAATTTCATGCAATCCACCTTCTTCTCCCAAAACCTTGGAAATTGACAGTTCAACTGAAGATGTTCTAGATTTTGAAAATAAAGACATGAGAACCGATGATGAGGACGACTATTACCTTCCGTATGATGAACAGGAGATAAATATTCGACAAACGTTTAACCAAGAAGAACTTAGCAATCTCATTAGAGATTTAAAATTGCCGAAGGATTGTGCAGAACACCTAGCATCAGTGTTGAAGAAGAAAAACTTGTTATCAAAAGGCACAACAGCTAGCTTTTATCGAGACAGAGAAAAGAATTCCGACAATATTTTACAAAAGATAAAAATCCGTCGTTGGTATATTGCTCAGATGTTGTCGGACTCATGAATAAATTAAAAATAAATATATACAAAGATTAAAATTGGAGACTATTTATTGACTCTTCAAAAAGAAGTTTAAAAGTAGTACTACTACATAATACTAATATTTATGCTCCAATTCCAATAGCGCATTCAACGGAAATGAAAGAAAACTATGAATATATGAAACTAGTTTTAGATAAAATTAGATACCGAGAACACAACTGGCAAATTTGTGGAGATTTCAAGATTTTAAGCATACTACTTGGACAACAATCAGGTTTTACAAAAACACCATGTTTCCTGTATTTGTGGGACAGTAGAGATCGAGCAAATCACTACTTTAAAAAACAATGGCCAAAAAGAAATTCTTTCGAACCAGGTTCAAAAAATATAATAGAAAATCCCCTAATCGACCCTTCAAAGGTGATAATTCCATCCTTACACACGAAACTAGGAGGAATGAAACAATTTGTCAAAGCCTTAGATAAAGAAGGAAACTGTTTTAAATACCTGGAACAAAAGTTTCCAGAAAAATCTGATGCGAAACTAAAAGAAGGGGTTTTTGACGGACCACAAATTCGCAAATTGTTAAAAGATGAGCAATTTATCACCAAGATGAATAAAAAGGAGAAAGCCACATGGCTTAGTTTCAAAGCAGTTGTCGAAAATTTTCTGGGTAATTACAAGAGTGAAAATTGGGAGCAAATAGTTAGTGATATAATTAAAAATTTTGGTAAGTTAGGATGCTTAATGAGCATAAAGATGCATTACTTAGACTCGCATCGGGATCGATTCCCTGAAAATTTGGGAGATTACAGTGAAGAACAAGGAGAACGATTCCATCAAGATTTTAAAGAATTTGAGCGTCGTTATCAAGGAAGATGGGATGTAAATATAGATGTCCGACTACTGTTGGATGCTGAAAAGGGATATTGTACCTGGAGGCACCAATTTGAAACGAAAACCATTACATAGATCCTTTGAGGACAAAAGAGTGCGCTACCATAAAAGGACGTGAATACCTTACTTATGTATATAAGAATTTCCATTTCGAGTTTTGAAAATCTAACTTCAGATTCGTAATCAGCGACCAAAAAAACCCCTAGTTACCAAGTTTGAAGTAAATCCATTAACTTTTAAAAAAATTCGTCCGCCATATTGGATCTGCCATTTTGAATTTTGAAAATCTAACTTCAAATTCGTCATCAGCGACCCAAAAAACCCCTAGTTACCAAGTTTGAAGTAAATCCATTAACTTTAAAAAAATTCGTCCGCCATATTGGAGCCGCCATTTTGAATTTTGAAAATCTAACTTCAAATTTGTCATCAGCGACCCAAAAAACCCCTAGTTACCAAGTTTGAAGTAAATCCATTAATTTAAGAAAAAATAGCCTACCTCTCAAAATCCGACAGATTTTTTGAGGTTAGAAAAAAATCCTGACGTGATGGAGCAAAACGGACTTCGGATTCGTGTTCAGCGCGTCAAAATACATAGGAAATGACTAGTCTGGTCTGCCGCGCACGGCACTTTTTTTTGTGGGGCTGTGTTATTCGACTGAGCTAATCCGTCAGTCTGCTTCCTATAATAATAATTATTTAACCCATTTTTACTATCAGTCCCTCAAATTCGTTAATTTCCATTAAAAAATAAAGATTAACTATTTTTTATTTAATTTAAATAGAAATAGATTAATTTTTAAACTTACCAAGAGTTCGCTGATCAGTGTTTTCTAAAATTTCTACCAATGTTTCAAAATGTTGTTTATTTGCAATTTGAAATAATTCGTCTCCATTGAGTTGTACTTTTGCCTCATTAAAATAATCGGTTATTATTTTTTTCCAATTAATCTATTGTTATAATTATTGGATTAATAGAAAAAATATTTTTAAAATAGTTTTTATATTTTAATGAATAACAGAAATTTGTATTTCTTTAAATCCTAAATTATTTTTTTTACGCAGTCAAAATAAAGTCTCATTTTAAAATAAGGCAAAATTTAATTAAGTGTTGAAGATATACACGTCGAAAAATAGTCAGATAATGTATCAAACTCCTTGAATTCTGGAGCGCAAACCAATAAATTTTAGGAGACAACTACTTCTTGGATAATAATATATCTAACTGTTTAGCAGCAATATGTTTGCGATAGGTACACTGTTAGAAAAGTCTGTATTAAATTTAATATACTTGTGTATAAAGCAAATATCCATCGCACAGTGCATTATGCATTATGCACTTAAATTAAAGATACATGTATATTAAATTTAAAAATATGAAAAAATGAAAAATTTGTATGGACTGGGATTCTTACTCTATAATCTAGATTAAACTTGGCGCTTTGGACCTCACGACCAAATGATCACAATGGCTGTCTTTGGCACTCGCCCAAGTTAACTCCGGGTTAATGGTGATTAGTTAGACCAACAGAATGTTTTTGATGATTGGATAATAGTTAACTAGGGGTTAACCCTGGGTGAGTGCCAAAAACAGCCACTGAGAACTAAATTTCTATATTAAAACTATACGATCATTTTTAACAGTGTAGGATACCTTTTCGCTCAGATAAATTATCCAATAGCTGATGTAGTCGAATTCTTCTTTCATAATTATAATTCTCATTCAGTGCAAAATTCTAACATTAAAATAATTAGATTATTTTTAAAATAACATAACATGAAAAATGGAGACGCATTATTATTCCATAAAGCAATTTTCCTATAATTTGTGGAAGACAGAATTTTATGTCAGAAGCTTTCTTGAACCGAAATTTCTTTTCTGCAAATTCTTAGTTTTTAATTTTCTTTTTGGAGCAAATTTCATATACATATAGAAATTTTACTTCTAAGGGTGGAAATTTTAACGCCATTAGTAAAAAAACTAATGATAATTGTCAAGTTTTAAACTTAGAAAAATTGTTAAAGACTTAAAAAATTTTTTTTATCATTTGCGTCTTCTTTAATCTTAATAATCAAGAATAGTATGTTTTGATTTTATAAATCTCTTTACAGTCTAAGCAAATCGCATTCAAGTTTTGACACCATTTTCGCCGCTTTTAGGCCAACGCAGAATTGAAACTTAACCGGAACCGCAATCGTAATCGTGAGCGGAAGAATGAGTTAGAGAAGCAGGAGCAACAAGTAAATGTGTACTTTTAAGAAATATTTTTGTTGATTTTTTTAATTGGGTACCACATAGTGAAAAAAATTAAAATCCTAGGTGGCGCATCATTCCAGCTGAAGCACAATGTATCCAGTAACTGTTTTTTTTAAATTTGCTTGAAATTTAGTAATTATGTATTTCTGGGGTCACTCATTACGAATGTAATGTTAGATTTTCAAAATTAAAAATGTCGGATCCAATACGACGGACGATTTTTGCAAAAACTCACCATTTTGGCTTGAAACTTGTCACTCGGGGGTTTTCGGGGTCTCTGATGACGAATTTAATGTTAGTTTTCAAAAATGTTAAATTGAAGATTCATTATGGTGGAGGATACATTACTGAATACATTGTGCTTCAGTCGGAATGATGCGCCACCTAGGATTTTAATTTTTTCCACTATGTGGTACCCAATTAAAAAAAATTGGACAAGTGCGAGTTGTACTCGCACTGCAATGGCGGGTTCCGTACACAAATATTAAAACAATACTTGCAACATTTATCGGTAATTGGTAGAATTAAAATAAACAATTAAAAAAATATATTAAAATCATTTGATAAAAAAGAATAACTAAAAAAATTAAAGTATTGTATATATCTAATATTGTAAACAATAATAAGCAGAGGAACTATAATTTTGAAAATTTTGTTCCTCTGCTTATTATTGTTTACAATATTAGATATACAATACTTTAATTTTTTTTAGTTATTTCTTCTTATCAAATGATTTTAATATATTTTTTTAATTGTTTATTTTCATTCTACTAATTACCGATAAATGTTGCAAGTATTGTTTTAATATTTGTGTACGGAACCCGCCATTGCAGTGCGAGTACAACTCGCACTTGTCCAATTTTTTTTTATTTTTAGTTAAGAAATTAAAGTCAGAAAACAATCTCTCATTTATCGTCTTAAAATTTCACTCTTTCTTAAAATATTTAATGCCACGTGTTTAAACTAAAAAAAATTTTTAAAAAATTTTTTTTTTTGAAAAAAAAAATTTTTTTTTAAATTTTTTCTTAAAAAGTTTCTTAAATAAATTTTTTGTTGTCAGACTGTAATAATACACCAGGATCCCAATTTCCAGCTCATTAGGTCAAATAATGTAAAAGTTAGGGAAAACAAATTTTTTTTTAATTTTTTAGTTTTTCCTTGACAACGCTATGGCCATCATTACATATCAAGTTCTCTATATTTTTCCTGTAATATTCGAGTAAAAATACACCAGCATGCAAAATTTCAGCTCTCCATGTCGAATAGTTTAGAAGTTAAGGGGGGGGGGAATGGTCACTTTTTATGCATTTTTGGCCAAAAATCTTGTTATTTCCTTGACAACGCTATGCCCATCACGTCCAATCACATTCGCTATATTTTTCCTGTAATCTACGAGTGAAAATACATATCTGGACCAAATTTGAGCTCTTTAGGTCAAATAGTTTAGCTGCTAGGGGGGGGGACACGATTTGGCTACGGACAACAGAGTCTCACCAATAGGGTTCCGCCGATACACCGTAGGTGTACGGAACCCTAAAAATCAACAAAAATATTTCTTAAAAGTACACATTTAGCAGAATTTTCTGTGAAAATTCGAAAGTAATATCTCCAAAATAAGAACAAATTTTTTTTCTTCATACCTCGGTCGAAAGTACGTATTTCCCGCTGCGATTTCGCAGCAGAAAGTCAAACATTTGTGCTTTGGTTGATTTTCATACCCAACCTCTATTACAGCGGGAGTAAAAGAATTCTCTGTCGGTAAAAACACCACTGTCGGAAAATAAGAAAATTTCGAGTTCAATGACAATTTAACGAGTAATTGTTATCGCAATATAAAATGAGAAAAAAAATTATCAAGAAAACTTTTTATACTTTATAAATTTATTATCCACAAGCTCTGAATATTAAAATGAACGAAATCTTTTGCTGATATAATTATATTCAAAAATTATTTTAATAAACATTAAAAACAAAAATAAAATAACTAATAATTTTGTAATTTCTTTTTCAATACGTGCCAAAATGTTATTATAAAATTGTAGGTAATAATTTGAAGAAATAATGAAAGTGTTTTCATTAGAATGTTTAGAATTTTAGAAACATAGAATTAATTTTGTACCACCAGAAAAATTCTTTTGAAAATATAATATTAATTTATCTTTCCCATTTTTTCCGTGCCTGCCCCCGACCAGAAGCACTCGCCTCGCTCGTGCATCAAATGTCGGGGCAGGCGAATATTGTTTGCAAGAGAGAGACAGAGAAAAAACCAGAGCTTCACGAGTGTCCGCTAGAGGCGTTGAAGCAAGGAGCAAAAGTAAATAAAGATGGCCGGCTGTCAAATAAAACTCGATTGCAATTTTCTTAAAAAATAAATTACCCAGCGTACTTTCGACCGTATATAAAGAAAAATAGTATACATTACACAAGCAGAAATTCGAAAGCCCTAAACTACGCGATAATGCCCTCGGCTTCGCCTCGGGCATCATTTCGCGCAGTGCAGGAATTTCGAACTTTCTGCCCTTATAATGTAATATACTATTTTTTGAAAATTAAAAAAAAAATTGTTTGAGTTATTTTGGTGGTCAAAACTTTTTGAAATTTCTCTTATTAATTTATAAAACACGTATAAATTTTATTAAAATCGATCCAGTGGTTTTCCAGAAAAATTTTTTGATTTTCTTTTCCCCCTCCATAACTTCTACAAAAATACATTTTTTGAAAAAATATTTGGTGAAAAATTGTATCTTAATGCTGCCAACATGTAACAAGAATTTCAAATTTTTTTGAGCGGTGGCAGATTTTGCATGCTTACTCCGCTAGGCCCTTTGAATTCACGGACAGTCTTACTCTTGTATGTTACCATGACAACATGCATGGCAGGCAGGCTACCTGCAGAGGTGTAACTGAAGCTTTAAGTTGAGTCTCCAATAAGACAAGGTGCGCATCGATGTTCATAGCTATAGGTATACTAAAGTATGATGTGGTATATCTATAGCTATGAACATCGATGCGCACCTTCTCTCACATTGGAGACTCAACTTTAGAGAGAATTGCATAAAGGTAATATAAATAGAGTGGGGATGGTCTGTATAGAGGCGTCTATTTGATAGAAAGAAGAAACAATATTAACACTATCAGGCGTCTCTCTTGCACTGGAGCTCATTGGAAGTTACTAGTGTTAAATCTCCCTTCCTCTCTTCTTCTTGTTCGATCTAAAGTGTGATACACACTTTAGAATACGTTGGTAACGTAAAGGAGAATCTATTACATTCTGTCATGAACTATAGTATAAATAGTACTAAGTATAAATTAAAATGTCGGTAAATTTGAAATTTTATAAGAATAGGCAGGGAGTGAAAGAAGGGATACGAAAGCTTCTATACGCCACCCGTCAAACTCGCTCATGCTATGAGGAACGTATTGAAGAACCGGCCAGTTCCTAGGATCCTCACTGCGTTCCTCGATGTGTTCAAGGATTATTTAAAGTTATTTTTAAAATTGTTAACTTTAAGTTAATTTTCCGCAATATTTAAGACGTTTTTAATTAATTCAAATTCAATGTAAGTAAAATGTCTAATTTGTCATTATTGTAAAAATGTATTAAATTTTTTATGGGACTATTTCATTGTATGTTGTTAAATAAGTTTCGAAACTTATTTATAGGTACATACACAATTAAATAACAAATACTTTT